TCATGGGGACAACCCCAATGCTAGAAATGGCGCGCGCTTACGGTCTCCGTCCCCGATTATGGCTCCTGGTAACATGTTCAGTGTGAAGTACTCGATCCCCAATACGCTCCGTTCCCAGGTGGTTTGCAAATTTACATGTGAGCACTCACTCCCGGATCGCAATTCCCATATCTATAAACATCTTCAGGGTTCTGAGTCATGTAAGAATATATGCCCTTTTAATTGTTTTTACATCTTAGACTCGGCTCTTATTAATTTCCAACTTAAGATCAAAGAAGCCCTTAATTCATATTGAATGGGAGCGACCCGCATTGAATAAACAACTCAAACAACTCAAACATGTTAATTTAACACTTTTTCTTTCTTCATGATTGAAGAAACCACCTGGTAACCACCTGGTTACAGGACCATTTTTAAAAACTCTTTCTTTCTATTTGTGTTCAGCATTTTTCACAGTTTTGTACTCGCGCCTTTTTATTCTCCCACTCTGTTGTATCCCTTAAGTATTCAGTATTTAACTGTCGTCACTGTTTTGTAACTATTATTCTACATTTTGTAATTTACACCACTTGTTATCTACTTTGTATAAAGTCACTCGCTTGTAAACATCCTTTAACTGAAGATGGATACTGAGTATCCGAAACATGTCTTGCAAATTTAAACGGTGTGTCGTCTTTTTTAAATGTTTGATTTCAATCTTACTGCCACGAAAATTTGGCAAAAAATTGTTTGCTTTGAACGTCTTGGTACATCTTTCTATTCATTATTATTTTTTATTATATGGCTAGCTCCGTGAGCGGGCAAGATGAATCAAATCCTGCGCTGTGATTGGCTACCTGAGCGGACAAGATGGAGCTATCTTTCCCGCTCGGGACTACCCGCCTGGTCCCGCAGGAAAAATTTCCCCGAAAGCCATGTAATAAATCCTTTATCGACCAAGCTTGTTCGGTCAAGATGGCTTGATATTGGCCTCGTTCTTTTTTTGCGTGTTTATGGACCGCGACTCCGTCTCGGTCCGTAAACACGCAAAAAAGAACTTGGCCAATATCCAGCCATCTTGACCTCACACTTGGTCAATAACCCATATATCGATTTTTGGCAACACGTGACAAAATCCTATCAAGTGACCATTGCGTAACAAATTAAGAGCCACTGCCTGTAAATATGGAGAATCCGACGACAGGTCAGGAAATTCGGATTTTCGTTTATTAGTCCAAAAGACCCTTTTGGTTAAGTATTTTCAGAAATATTGACTTTCAAAGTTCCAGCGCCTTCACATTTTTGTGAAATCTAGGAAAGTTCGAAATACCGCTCAATGAACCTGGATGGCCGATGGAATTTATGCAAAATTGTACATTTTCAACAGGCCAGTACAGAAAGAAGGGAACTTGCCTGGATTTCATATTCACACAGTTTGTAAATTACACTTTGATCATTCCTCTGAGGTAAAAGTCATCTTGAAGTAAATATGTTTTGTCTACTTCTTGGCCGTTTGAAAAATACAACTATCGCAGTTTAACTTAATGAAAAATTTCAACTGATTTTAGAGGGTCATAACTCTTCTAGTATACGAATCTCTCAACAAATAAAAGGTTCTAAAAAACGAGCTATGCTATAGGTATACCATATCTAAATGGCTGGTTTGGCCCGTCAAAATTAAGCGCGCTAGACGAAAAACTATAAAGGGTATTTTGACCAATTGCGCCTTTTATGGACGAGCGAGCAAGAACTTCGATTTCGCAGTCATGATACTATTTTTTCATACCACGTAAGAAGGCGACTGGAATATTCTAGTGATAAACTGTAGGGAGTTTTGGTTTTCTGGTTCACATAGACCTTAAACAATAAAAGTGATGAATACTTATGACAAAATAGTTCGTGGTTGCAAAAATGATGTCAATCAGTGTAAATTCTTCTCCCTTCTTTGCTACGAAACTGTCCTCCTAAGAACGCGTCTCCGAGATAGAAAAACTGCCGGAATGTCAACATAGAAGCCAAGAGTAACAGGAGTTCTTTAATGATTTGATTCTGGTTGAGCGCTCTCTGTTAAAACGTTTCATGTGGACTTATTGCATTCTGCGAAACCAAAGGAAATGAGTTTCAGAAAGAAACTCACAATTTCTTCTAGTTTGTCTAGAACTGGTAGCATAGAATTGAAGGTAAATTTGAAATGTAACAAGTCTAGTAACAAGAAACCCTACCGCGCAAGAATTTTCTCCT